GAGCGTAGTCCCAGAAATATGCAGCAGTGATATCAGGATGCTATGGCAATTGTAACAAGGTATGGCAAGCCTGATTTATTTGTAACCGTGACATGCAACCCCAAATGGGCAGATATTGCAAACAATTTACAACGCTGGCAAAAAGTTGAAAACAGACCTGACTTGGTAGCCAGAATTTTTAATATTAAGCTGAATGCTCTTTTAAATGATATCTGTAAATTCCATTTATTTGGCAAAGTAATAGCTAAAATTCATGTCACTGAATTTCAGAAACGCGGACTGCCTCACGCTCACATCCTCTAATTAATTCCCTTTCAATGTGCATGAATTTCATGCACTGGGCCACACACACACACACACACACACACACACACACACCTTTAAAAAGCCTGGGTGGCCTAACCCACAGACCTCACAATGTGGCCCAGTCACAACGTCACTACTGCTCATTGGGCTTGATGGACACTAAGTACAAGACACGGCCTTGTCCCACAGGACGGACATTCTTCAAGGTTTGGCTCCCAAGGCCTCCTCCTCCTCCAGGGAGTCCTCCTTGATTGCCCGGCTCATCCCGTGCAGGGGGTTAGGTCACTCTATTCCCTGCACATACAGCACACGCATGCACGTGTATCTTCCGTGTACCAGGAAGAGTACATGCACATGGACTGATGTGGGTACGAGGCAGAATGAGAGAATTCTCCACGCGGTGTCACACGCCACAGCAGCGTGGAGTGAGGCTCTGTGCAGCCTCCACACAGAGGCATTCTCAGGCTTTTCCCATCGAGCCTCATTGGCAAGGGTGTGAGAACACGTGTTCGCTGCCGAGCAGAATCAAGCGGGGGAGAGATCGGAGGGCTTTCGGGGCAAGGAGAGCGCCGTCACCATCCCACAGAGCGGGAGCCATGCTCTGCCTGCTCACGTCCCCGCAGCGCGTAGAGAAGTCACGTGAAAAGGAGCCATCTGGGCCAGCCCCACCTGCAGGGCCGGCAGAGTGTGGTGTCCCCGGCCAGGCCGCGTGGGCCTGGGTGTCGCGAGGGGACTGGAGTGGTCTGCAGTGCTGGCTGGGTGTCTGCCTGTCCTGACCCTGGTCTGAGAGTCAGGGCAGACCGCCCAGGTGCGCAGACAGCTCCCTCCCCCAGCTGTGGCTCCCCCCCCACGCCACACCTGAGCGTGCTTGGCAACTGGCCCGCCTCCTGGAAGGACTGGCACCTCCTGCGAGAGGCTCAGGCAAGGAGCTCGGGCCACCAGTTGCAGCCACGCCCGTTCCCAGCGCACCGCACCACACGCCCCACAGCGGGCAGGTCAGAGCTCCCGCACCGCCCAGAGCCAGAGCGAAAGCGAAGCTGCGACTGAGCCGCTCCACGTGGGCAGCAGCGCCAACGTCCTCTGGCCGAGACTCCAGGGAAAACCCTCTCGCAGGTCCTTCCGCTGAGGAACACGCCTCGGACCAGAGCTGAAATGAGGGTCCGGCACATCCCCTGGGAGTTTCTAGAACAGATGCTGGTGGCCACGGGCAGGGAGCGGGAGGAGGGGCAGGAAGCTCAGCCGTCCCCTGGGTGTCTGGCTTCAGGCAGCAACAGGAGTGACGTCCGTCCCCCAGGCACCCCTCCTCTCCGCCGGGCAGTGGGCCAGGATGGGCAGGGCACGGCCTCTGGGGGCTCAGGTGACCCCTCTGCTCACAGCCAGCTCACCGCCTCCCTCACCCCCGGAGGCGCTACGCGGTCCTGCTCCTGCAGGTGAAGTGCTGCATTTACACTGAATTCAGCCCGATTCTGAAACGGAAACTGCCCTTCACTGAACACCAGGGGCCTGACCGTCTCTCCCACTCTGTCCAGGGCGCCGCCGCGGGCACCACCGCCAGAGGCCCAGCCACAGGGGCCGCGGGAGACGCCGGGGTTCCCACCCGCTCGAGCGCTGCCTCCCGCCCAGGGCCCGGGTGCCTGTGACCACCAGGACCAGATGGAGGCCGGTCCTCACGCCACGGAATTCCAGCCGTGCCCCCGGGAGCGCCGGGCACGCACCGCACAGGGCTTCTCTGAACGGGGACGCTAATAGCGATGGAGATGGCAACGAGGCAAAAACAAATAACGAACAAACAAAAAACATCCCAGAGACATTCACAGCCTCAGGAGAAAAATGCTGACATCTCATCAGCGAAGCCGCCGTGTAAGACCGTCTGTGACAGCCCGTCCGCCTGACGCTACGGAAGCACATTCAGACAAGCGGGGGTGAGATGGCTCGGACCCGAGGCCGGAGGTCCCAGGCCTCACCCTCGGGCACAGACCAGCCCCGGAGAGCACAGCGTGCCCCAGGCCTTGCCCACGGGCGCTCGGGCCAGCACGGTCCAAGGCCGGCCTGGGGTCAGAACGCGTGCGCCCCTGCACACCCTCAGCACCTGGCGGCCACCGGCAAGCACTGAGTGTCCCCTCCCCGCCCACCAGGGCCGTGCCAGGGGAGAGCTAATGAGACACAAGATTTAAATCAGACCCAAAGTCTTCAACCATCGCACCCGCATGTCCTGGGAACAACATCAAACCACCCGTTCCGCAGGATGAGGAAAATCTCAAACAAAATGGGAGCAGCGCCAGACACCACGCAGAACGCAGTCAGAACCCCGGCCGGGCTCTGCAGCGCCCGCCACACACCGAGGAGCAAGGAGAGATCCGGGGGGCAGGGTGGAGGCTCCCCGTGGCCCGCCCTGAGGCCTGTGGCTCAGCGGCCCCAGGAGCCGGAGTGAGTGGGGTGAGAACTGCTCGGGAAGGCTCGCTGCCATGTCCCAGGTCTGGCAACAAAGGCAACCCTACAGGAAGGTGAGGAAGGACCAGAGGATGAGCGCCCCCGCACCCCGAAACTGAAGACAAAGACATCCCTGGGGCCAGAGAGAAGGTGAGAACAGCCCAGTTCAGGGGCTAGGAGCAGAGCTGGGGGAGTCCGCAGGGCCCCGGGGCAGGGCCCCAGGAAAGCCAGCAAAGGGGTTCATCGGCGTTTCACCAGGAGGCCGCGAGGACGCTACAGGGGGAGTCACGTCAAGCCACACGTGGGAACTTGGAAAGAACTCAAAACTCCACCATCAAGAGCACTCAGGTTGGTCAGCAAAGGACACGCAGAGGCTGGGCACCGAGGAGGGCCCAGGCGCACACGCACACGCACACGCGAGGACACCCGTCGGAAAGCACCAGGGAAGCCACAGGCTCCGCGTCAGATGGCCAGGTGCTGGGAGGGCTGGGGAGCGGATCCGTGCGCTGGGGCGGGAATGGAAACGGCAGTTACTTAAATGGAACGTAGGCCCTGAAACAGCCTAGCAACTGTCCTCCAGGCACGGGGCCCCGAGAAGGACAACACGTGTCCACGCAGGACCCGGACACGACTGTCGCAGCAGCTTCATGTGTAACAGCCACGAAGTGGAGCCACCACACGTCCCTCCGGGGGAGGCTGAGCCGGGTGGGAGCCCCACCGCGGAGCAGCGATGACTCGGGAGTGAAAGGGGGGTTACTCGGCAGTGAAAGGGGGGTTAC